GACAAGGTTGGATAGGATTTCGAATGAGGTTATCCGACGTCAAGTAGGTATGGCACCGGTGGAAGACAAGTTGCGGGAAGCGAGGTTGAGGTGGCTTGGCCATGTGAGACGGCGGGATGCTGACGCCCCTGTACGGAGATGCGAGAGGATTACGGTTATCGGGGGAAGTAGGGGAAGGGGTAGACCTAAGAAGAATTGGGAGGAGGTGATAAGACAGGATTTAGGACTTCTCGACCTGACTGAGGATATGGCCCTAGATAGGAACCTTTGGAGAACTAGGATTAGAGTAGCTGGATAGGAGCTCGGTGTTGTAGAGGTTGTTTTGTAGTGTGTTGTATTTGTTGGGAATCTTTTGCTATTGTTTGTACTTGTTGCTTGTACTTGGTGCCTTATCTGTGCTATACTGTGTTCTCTTCCATATTTTTGTGCAGGTGGAGCCGAGGGTCTCTTGGAAACAGCCTCCCTACTTCCGAGTAGGGGCAAGGTCTGCGTACACACACTCTCCCCAGACCCTACTGTTGTGGGATTCAACTGGGTTGTTGTTGTTGTTGTTGTACTCCTTATAATTTTATTATTGTTTTTGTATGAAGTTCAAATTTGCTGCATGTTACCTCTAGTATGTTTGATTATTTATTTATTTCTTTTGCATAATTCAACTGGGTTGTTGTTGTTTTGTTTGTTTGCATAAATTTTTAGGGGCTGTTTGTTTCAGCCTCTTAATGGTTCAGATCTCTGAATGGTTCACCACTTAATGATTCAGACTGTTTGTTTCAGCCTCTTAATGGTTCAGAAGTCTAAATGGTTAAGAGATTTGCCTCTGAATGGTTAAGTATTATACAGAGTCTGAATGATTAATACCTCTTATCTGAATTGATCAAATATTTGCCTCTGAATAGTTAAGCAATATACTAGCTCTTAATGGTTCAGACCTCTTACTGGTTCAGCACTTAATGGTTCAGATCTCTGAATGGTTCACCACTTAATGATTCAGACTGTTTGTTTCAGCCTCTTAATGGTTCAGAAGTCTAAATGGTTAAGAGATTTGCCTCTGAATGGTTAAGTATTATACAGAGTCTGAATGATTAATACCTCTTATCTGAATTGATCAAATATTTGCCTCTGAATAGTTAAGCAATATACTAGCTCTTAATGGTTCAGACCTCTTACTGGTTCAGCACTTAATGGTTCAGACCTCTTACTGATTCAGCACTTACCCATTCAGAAGTTGCCAAACAGCCCCTTAGTGTTAGCTAAATATTAGTGCTATAAAATTTTATGCCACCAAACCAGGCTTTTTGGAATTAAGGTGTTAATGACGCTGAAGAATAAAATTTGGTAGAAATGTAGAATACCTAATACCCTACCTTTGTATTTTATCCATCTTTGTAGTATATTTGCAGAATGAAACTTCTGATAATTTATAATTTTGCATTTCTTAATGGATTGCAAAAGAGATTGCAAGGGTACCAAGAAACAATGATGATTGTCTCGTTTCTCTAGAGGATGCTCTAAACTGTATAACTTTTGTTTCTCTATCTTTTTTGAAAATATTCTTGCATGATAACTTGGATATAACTACATAGGTTTATGAAGGATTACTAGAATAATTTTTTACTCGTGTACACTTGTTACATAATGACAACTCTATGCGGGAGGAGGAACCACATTTTTCATGTGCACAATTAATGCAGATTGCAGTCAAAAGGTTAAAGGTTTGGAGTGACGAAGTGATGGAGTTTTCTGCTGAGGTTGAAAAACTAGCCCGTGTACGGCACAAAAATCTGCTGAACCTACGTGGCTATTGTGCAGAAGGGCAAGAGCGTCTGATTGTATGTGATTATATGCCCAATCTAAGCTTACTTTCGCATCTTCATGGACAGCATTCAACTGAAAGCCTTCTTGATTGGAAACAGAGAATGAGTATCGCAATTGGTTGTGCCGAGGGAATTGCGTAAGTTTTGTGCCTGACACTAATAAACCAAACATCATCATCTTACTCCTATCTTTTATGTCTCGCCCTTCTCATCAAACAAACTCAAATGTACTCCCAGGTATCTTCATCATCATGCAACACCACCAATCGTTCATAGAGATATTAAAGCTAGCAACGTGTTGCTGAATTCTGATTTCTCTGCTCAAGTTGCTGATTTTGGATTTGCAAAGCTCATCCCTGAAACCCAAGTAAAGGGCACACTTGGTTACCTTTCCCCGGAATACACAATGCTGGGAGGAAAGGCATCTGAAAGCTGTGACGTTTACAGCTTTGGCATTCTCTTGCTGGAGCTTGTTACTGGCAGAAAACCAATAGAGAGAGTCAGTGAAACACTCAAGTCCCCAATTACTGACTGGGCACTGCCTTTGGCCTGTGAAGGGAAGTTCAATGAACTTGCAGACCCAAGACTAAATGGAAACTTTGTGGTGGAAGAACTGAAAAGAATTGTTTATATAGCACTCGTTTGTGCAGCTAATATACCAGAGAAGAGACCAACTATGCTTGAGGTGGTTGATCTCCTCAAAGGCCAACCGGACAAGTTTTCTGCTATAGAGAATGATGAAATGTTCACCATTCCTCGGGCTGTTGGTTGCAACAATGAATATTCTGCAGCAGAGGACAGTTCACAAATCATGTTAAAGGAAAAGGCACCAAAACAAGAAATTGAAACAGTTGAAATCGGTCCCCCGAAGTGACCTGATTGAAACTGCATTGTTCCTGAAATCCCTCTCGAATGATCTCCACAGAGTGAAAGCTACACGGTCATTGCAGCATGGAGGACGCCATGGCTTCTTGGATTTTAATCTATTCCTCTTTGATTTCTTAGTTGTGTTTGGGTTCATATTTGATTCTTAATTTGATGTAAAACTTTATAATACTTACATGTGTAGTACAAACAATGTCGGGAATGGGTTTGGGAGTATATATCACGTTTTTTGTTTCACCAAAATGATTATCGAAAGTTGCGCATAGATTTGACTGGTTTAAGGCTCGAAAGTGTATGTAGTTCCAAAATAGATTTCACCTTGTTTTTACTACAAAGAATATAAAAATTAGGGCTGTAAACGGATAACCGAAAATTCGATTACCGTCTGCATCCGTATCCGTTTATATGGAAAATAACCGCATCCGTTAAAAGCGGTTATTATCCGTATCCGATTAAGGATATCCGATTGCTAAACGGATACGGATTTGGTAATCATACATCCGATCCGTTTATAATCCGCTCCGCATTGACTTCCGTTTAAATAACTGTTTATTCGTATATCCGATCCGTTATATATAGTCTTTCCTAATTTTTTATTTTTATATTTTGTTTCTCTATAGATATCTTAAAGTATAAGACATTTTTATATGCAAAATGTATGTGTAAACACATAAAAGTATGTGTATATATGTACTGTGTATATCATTTTATGATATGAAGTTATCGTAAAATATCATAAACTATAAAAAATAAGAAAATTAATATCCCATAAAAATTATAGTTGATTTAATAATATTTTAATTTAGTTTAATTGAAAGTTCAAGTATTGTTTAATTTAGTTTTAAAAATTGGAAACGGATACGGATATATCCGATATCGACCGATATTCGACGGATGCGGATACGGTTTTAATTTTTCAATATCCGTCTAGATCCGTATCCGAATTCGATATCCGACAAAAATAAACGGATGCGGATTTGGTAATGGCACATCCGATCCGATTAAAATCCGTTTATACCCCTAATAAAAATGTAAAAAAATGTCTAGAACTATCCAAATTTTACCCGGTCTTTCAAAAATAATTTTATCTTTCACTGTGATTGCATAATAATTTTAATTTTAAGAAAATTTGCAAGTTTTGGATCATCGTTAAGTCACTAACGGCGAGTTCACATAAATGACTTTTTTGCGCAACAAAATTAAAATTGGGATTATTTTTTATGAATATTTATTTTTTAATTTTTTTAAAAAAGTTTCCTTTAAATTTTAAAAATGACTTTAACTCCATTTATTTTTGAAATAGTAGTTTTACCTTAGAAGAAAATAAATAATAGGAATAAAAGTAATAAAAATGAGAAAAATAATTAAAACTACAAAATGAATGAAATAAATAAGGTAATCAATAAAAACTAAGCTGAAATTGGTAAAAATAAAAATGTAAATATACGGAGTTGTGGTTTCTAACATTTTAGGCATCATGTAGAGTATTAATATATTACTTCTTATTATTTTTTAAATTTCCATATTTTAGGGTTTAAATAATAATTAGTTGTTTAATTTCTTGTTTTTTATTTTAATTTTTACCAACGGGAAAAAGCAATACATTAATACTTCGTATGTGCCTAAAACGTTAGAACTCACCACTCTGCATATTTAAGTTTTATTACTTATCACCTTGAAGTTAGTTTTTATTGATTATCTTTTTTTCAATAATATTGTATGATTTTAGTTGTTTTTCTTATGTTCATTATTTCTCTCTTTTTTATTTTTCTCCGATGAAAGACTAATCTTTAAAAAAAGAAAAGGAAATAATGGAGGTTGAAACTCATTTTAAAAAAATTAAGACAATATCAAAAGTAAAAAAATAAAAACAAATATTCAAAAAAAAATAATACCGATTTTTATTTTGTTACGCAAGACAAGTCTCTAATAACTAGCCGTTACCAGTTTAACGACAACTCAAAAGCCACAAATTGTAATAAAGTTTGATTTATTATGTATCAAAGTGAAAGATGAGTTTAATTTTTAAAGACCAAGCAAAGTTGAAATTATTATGGATAATTTTTCCTACAAAAAATACAGAGATCACCCTAAACATGAGTAAAATATACAAAAAGTACAAAATAAGAGTTTCATATTTTTATTCCTTAAATAAGAATTTGCACGGTGGTAATGTGATACTGTACATGTGCACTATACTTTTTTGGTAATGTACATGGTAATGATTGGTAATGTAAATAGATTCTAATTCCTACTTCAAAAATAAAAACATGAAACTCCTATTTTGATATATTTTTAATATTTTTACTTACACTTTAGTCTTTTCTCCAAAAGTTACCGAAAAGTCCAAAATGTGCGATTAAAGTTATACTCGTATCTAGGTTCGGTTTTGATTTGAAGAGTAATACTCCGTATTTTGAATAACATATCCACTTTCAAGAAGAAAATTAGAATAAGTAGAATATTTATTTTGGGGCTATGACAAAGAAAAGAGAGAAAATTAAGTTTGTGTATGTTTTTTGGTTTTAAAATACTTTTAATGTATGTTGGCTTGTTGTGTGTGTCTATATATATATATATATATATATATATATATATATATATATATATATATATATATATATATATATATATATATATATATTGGGAAGGGAAAGATACAACAGATAGCAAATGTTCGGGGGGACTAGACCGATACCCCGAAGGAGAGAGAGCAACCATATAAAAGAAACAACAAAATTCTAAGTGATAACAACGGTTATATCAAACAAACAACTGTTATATCCAACAAACAGTGTGCCGAAGCCAAGTTGCGCTTCAACACCCTCTTCCTTGTACTGTCCAAGCACCCAGGTCCAGACCGCTATCAATCTCCCACATAGTCGTTTGCGGTGAAAGTTTTAATTCTGTGGCCATTCAGCGCAAAGTATTGAAGACCCTCCTCCGTAAGAGTATCATCTTTATGCATCCACCATTTTTTCCTAAATTTCCAACACCAAAAGGAGATGTTGTGTTTGATATTATGTGTGATGCTAGATAAGGAATCCTTAGTGTTACCAAAGACCGTAGAGGCGTAAAGTTTCCATATAGACCATGTGATAATCCCTGGGGCAATGAGGCGTAGGTTCCTTTTGATTGATTTGTTGTTATGCCTCAAATTCCACGTCAGAATATGTTGTTTAAGAGTGCTACCTGGAGTAGGGTTAGGACCATCCAAAAGGAGAGCCATTCTCTCCCAGATGGGCATAATCAGTGGACAATGGAGAAGACTGTGATCTATGTTACCATCATCTTTAAGGCAGAATATACACTGGGAAGGGAGAGAGGTGTAGATATGAGTGTAATTCTCCGGGAAAGGTAGGAGATTGTAGTTAAGCTTCCAGAGAAAGAGCTGAATTTTGGGAATCTGCAGGTTATCCCAATTGTATTTATCACTGATAGGATAGTTTGAATGGGTTCTGCTGTGATTGAAAGCTTGTTTGAGAGAAATAGGCACCACTTCAATTTGACCATCTTCATCTTCCTCAGGTAGTATGTCCCCCATAAGATCTTCAGCTGAGGAATTGATTCTGCAGATCCTCTTTCTAATGGTAGAGTCAGTAAGCTTTTCCTTAAAATTAGAGGTGTTGTACTTACCTCTCATGAATTGAGACCAGTTACTATCATCAAATTTAAAATTCCACCAAAGCTTGATTGAATAAGCCTCTTGTAGTTTTCCAAGGTCCCTGATTCCCAGCCCTCCCTCTTCTTTAGGAAGGCAAATTTTGTTCCAAGAGCACCAGTGATATTTCCTTGTGTTTTGGTTGTGTCCCCAGAAGAAATTAGCCATCATGGAGTGAAGTTTTTGAATAACTGATTTAGGTAGTGAGTGCACTGCCATGAAGTGTAGAGGGATGGTAGATAGCACATGTTTGATCAACACCAACCTTCGAGACTGAGAGAGGGTACGGTTGTACCATTTATCAATGTAGTTGCTGAAGTGAGATATTAGGTCCCCACAATCCCCTTTCCTTAGAATCCCTTTGCAAATTGGAGTACCCAGATATTTAAAGGGCAGAGAGCCCTTTTGCATTCCCAGTATGGACTCAGCTTTAGAAGATACCTGAAGGCTGCCATGTTTACCACAATAGAATCTACTTTTAGAAAGATTGATGCTTTGCCCTGAACCATCCAAGTAAGCCTGTAGTCCCCACAATCCCCTTTCCTTAGTCATCTGCATAAGCAAGATGACTAAGGATTTGGTCTCTCCCAGTGTTGAAGTGAGAAATATGGCCTGACAGCATGGAGTGCTTTAAGGCCCTGGAGATGCCTTCACTGGCAACAATGAAAAGTAGAGGGGAAAGAGGATCACCTTGCTTGACTCCTCTTTTCATAGGGAAATAACCACAGGAATGACCATTGATGAGAAGAGAGAAGTTGGTAGCATAAAGATTAGCCATAAGAAGTCTCTGTGCTCTAGGAGAGAAACCAAATTTATCCAGGATACTATGGATATACTCCCATTCCAGGTTATCAAAAGCCTTAGCCATATCTAATTTTATGACCATGTTGCCACCTCCGACCTTTTTGTCCAACTTGTGAACCATCTCTTCTACAAGGAGAATTTGCTCATCAACCCCTTTGCCTTTTTGGAAACCACTCTGCTCCACTGAGATGAGCTTAGGAAGAAGCTTATGAAGCCTGTTAGCAAGTATTCTGGTATTAATCTTGCTCATGAAAGTAGATAGTGAAATAGGCCTGAAATCATTAAAATCTCTGGGATTATCCTTTTTGGGAATGAGAGAAATATATGTACAAACCAAATAATTTGGGAACAGGAATCCCGAGGAAAAACTCTTGGCTGGCTTTTAAAACATCATTTTTAATAATGTTCCAGGTGGCTCTGAAGAAACTCCCATTGAAACCATCTGGGCCAGGGGCACTGGCAGGGTTGAGCTCCCAAATGACTGATTTGACTTCCTCTTCCTCAGGTAATCTGCATAAAGCTTCATTATCAGCATGGCTAATAATAGGGTTAATGAATTGGAGAATGTTCTGTGGTTGAATAGCTTTAGAGTTTCCAAAGAGGTTGGAGAAGTGAGTAGTAGCCATGTCTTTGATCTTGTCCATGTCGTTGATCTCTTTCCCTTCATCATTGATAATAGACCTGATTTTGGAGCTAGCTCTCCTACCCTTAACATAGTCATGGAAAAATCTGGTACTGCAATCCCCTTCTGTAAACCATTTTATATTGGCTTTCTGTTTCCAAAAGTTGTATTCAATGTTTGTTGCAGTAATTA